ACAACTTGGACTCCACTCCAAGATACAATACTGATTTAGAACCGTGACTAGAGTCCATGTCCTAATCAGATAATTCACAACAATTACCCCTGAATTTCTGAGAAGATAATTTTTGCACACCAAGTAATTTTCTCATTTCCACAAACCTTACTCGTGCTAAGGCCTTCGTTAAAGGATCTGCAATTTGTTCTTCTCCAGCTACATGTTTAACTTCAACCTGCTCGTTTTCAACACGTTCGAATGAAGTGAAATCGAGTGTGAATGTGTTTGCTCCTTCCATGAAAGACTGGATTTTTTGACAACGCAATTGCTGATTTATTGTCAATAAAAATCAGCACCTTTTGTTTCTCCAGCCCTGTTACTTCTGCTAGCAGTTCCCTTAACCAAGCTGCTTGACAAGCTGCAGCCGTAGCTGCCATGAACTCGGCTTCACATGAGGATAAAACTACGGTATCTTGTTTTTGGGAACACCACGTGATAGGTGACCTACCAAGGAAGAAGATGTGACCAGTAGTGCTTCGACTATCATCAATATCAACATTATGACTACTATCACTATATCCCAGTAGTTTGAGTTCATTGTTTCGCTCATATTTTATCCCAAAGGAAGCTGTTCCGCGGAGATATCGTAGGATTTGCTTGATAGCACGCGCATGGGACTCTCTGGGGCTTTGCATGTAGCGACTTACTACTCCAACGGAGTATGCTAGATCTGGTCGAGTATGCAGGAGATAACGAAGGCAACCAACTAACCTTCGGTAATGTTTAGCTTCCACTTCTGGTTCTGTTTCGGCCTTTGAAAGCTTGAGTCCCGGATCCATTGGACACAAGGTTGTATTACACTCCTCCATACCAGCTTCTTTTAGGATCTTCAGGGCATAATTTTGTTGCTGAATCTTCACACATGTCTCTTCTTGCGAAACTTATATGCCCAAATAGTAAGTTACTTCACCAAGATCTGACATTTCAAACTGAGCCGCCATCATTCCTTTGAACTGCTCCATGAATGCTAAGCTAGTTCTTGTTACAAATAAGTCATCCACATATACTGCCACAACAATAAATTCACCTTTGGATGCTTTTCTGTAAACAGCCGTTTCTTGCAAGCATTTATGAAAGCGTAACTTCTTTAAGATGTTGTTCAGCTTTAAATTCCAAGCCCTCGGGGCTTGCCTAAGGCCATATAAAGCTTTCAACAATCTACAAACCTTTGTTTCCTCTCCCGGTTTCTCAAAGCCCTCAGGTTGACTGACGTATACTTCTTCCTGCAATTCACCATGAAAGAAAGCCGTTTTAACGTCTAAGTGGTATATCTTCCATCCTCTCCCGGCTGCGAGAGCAATCAAGAGTCGTATTGTCTCAAGTCGAGCTACTGGTGCGAACACTTCATCAAAATCAATACCAGATTCTTGTACATAGCCTTTTGCAACTAGCCGCGCCTTGTACCTTGATATTGATCCGTCAGCATTTCTTTTAATTTTAAATATCCACTTCAACCCTCTAGGTTTAACATCTTTCGGTGGAGGAACAAGTTTCCATCTTTTATTCTTCTCAATTGCATCAATCTCGGTTTTCATTGCTTTGAGCCATTCTGGTTTTACTCTTGCTTCATTGAAGTTTCTTGGTTCCTCATCAAATGCTAGTAGTAGCTCATTAAAATGCAGCTCATAGTCATTAAATCTTGCTGGTAACACAGAAGTGCGAGATGATCGTCGCATTGGTGCAAAATTGCTGACTGGTTCTTGAGGTGGACTGGTTTCGAGAGTTGAGTTGCTGTCTGACAGAGGTGAGCTGCTTCCAGAATTGCTGATAGCTGATTTGTTTGAGCCATTGATGTGGGCTTGTATTGTGGGCTGCCCAGGACTCACAACTGTTTGACTCGGTTGGGTCTCGCCCCACAAGACTGTGAAAGTACCTGATTCTTTTCTTATTTGGTTTTCGATATCAGTCAGGTCACTCCACTCCCAGGCTTTGTTCTCGTCACAAATTGCATAGGAGCTGATGATGATCTTGTTTTCGTGAGGATTATAGAGGCGAAATCCTCCTGAGCGAGGTTCCTTGCCAAAGTATACCAGTGGTTTTGACCTGTCATCTAGCTTCTTCAAGTGCTTTGAAACTATTCTATCATAGGCAATACAACCAAATACTTTTAAACCCTCAAGGTTTGGCTTTTGACAGTAGAGTTTTTCGTATGGAGTGGTTCCTACCAATGCTCGTGTAGGTGTCCGGTTTATGATAAAGGTTGCATGTCTAACGGCCTCGCCCCAAAAACAGTTTGGTACCCCTTTTGATTTCATGAGACACCTTGTCATCTCAAGTAAGGTGCGGTTTTTTCGTTCTACGATGCCGTTTTGTTGAGGATCATAGGGAGGTGTCAGCATTCTTGCAATCCCTTCTTCCCAAAAACGGTTAAGGTCGTTTGAAGTAAACTCTCCGCCTCTATCAGTGTGGAAGGATTTAATCTCTTTTCCAATTCGTTTTTCAATCGACCTTTTGAACCTTTTAATAGTATCTGTCGCATCACTCTTATGCTTTAAAAGAAACGACCACATATACCTGGAGAAATCATCGATTAGCACCAATATATAAACATTCCCTGCTTGTGTTGGGGGGTCTATCGGGCCACATATATCCCCGTGTATCATCTCAAGAACATCTTTTGACTTATATGATGTCTTTTTCGGGAAGCTATTTCTTGTTTGCTTACCAACCATGCATACCTCGCAGAGTTGGTCTTGATGTGAAATAGTAGGGACTCCTTTTGCTAGCTTGTGCATCAAGTTTAGTGCACTGAAGTTTATATGGCCTAGACGAGCGTGCCATAACCAGGATTCTTCGGTTATGCTAGCCCGCAAATAGTAGGGCTTTCCTACTTTCAGCTGGGTCTTGTACAGTCTGTTTGCACTTCTCTGAACTTTTACAAGTAACCTTCCACTTCTATCTCGCATGGTCAAGTAATCTCCTCGCATACAGATGTCACATCCAGACATCGTGGCTTGTCCGAGGCTGATCACATTACTTTTAAGGGACGGAATATAGTAAACATTTTTAGTAACTTTTGTTTTCCGCTTTTTCCTTGGAACAAAATAGATCCCTTCCCTTCTATGCTAACACACGATCCATCCCCAAATTTGACCTTCCCAGTGATTCGTTTATTTAGCTCAGAGAAGTATGAGTAATTCTCAGTCATGTGATTACTCGCTCCATTGTCCAGGTACCATATATCTTCTTCATCAGATTTTGAATCATGTTTGGGTGGGGTGTATTTTTCTTCATTCAGAAATATTGTTTCGATGTTCATCATAAAGAAAGTCCCCTCCTCACGATTCGCATCTGCCTCTTGTGTTTCATGAATCAAATTTGATTCATGATTTCTGGGTCATTATGGACATTTTGACACAAAGTGTCCGTACTTATCACAGCGGTAGCATTGAATGTTTGAGAGGTCACACTGTTCACGTTGCTTCCCTTTTTGTCTCTAGTCTTCTCGGTTTTTTGATGATGAGTCCTTTTGATCATGGTTTTGGGAATTTCCACGACCACGACCTCGACCTCAACCTCAACCTCAACCATGCCCTCCTCGGCTAGAGCCACGACCTCTCCCCCTGTTTGAGTCTTGATTTCTGTTGGAAGACTCAGCCTTTGCGTAAAGCAGTTTATCTTGTGATTCATTCGCAATATCTTCTTCTTTTATACGTTCTTCATATGCTTTAAGTCTTCCTACCACATCTTCAAACCCAACTGTTTTAAGATCAAGAACTTGCTCAAGGGCTGCTACTATATGAACAAATTTCCTGGGAAGGCTTGTGAGAAATTTCTTAACTAGCTTCCGTTCAGAAATTTCTCCTCCAAGTGTGGCTGAAGTAGAAGCGATACCTGATAGTTTTGCGGCAAATTCATCTATCGTAATTGTATCCCGCATCTTCAAATTTTCGAATTTCGTAGTTAGGGTTTGAAGTCTTGCTTCCTTCACACGGTCAGCCCCTAAATTTCGCGTATCAATCGCGTTCCACATCTCCCTCCCAGTTTTGAGATTGCCGATTTGAAGAATCAAGTCTTCCGGTATCGACTGATAGAGCAGACCCTTGACTATGTTGTTTTTCTTGGAATCGTCTGAACCTGGATTTATTACATCTCAGACTCCATGAATTCCAAGTAGAACTTCCATCCGCATTCTCCAGATGGTGTAATTTGTCGTTGTCAACAGGGGAAATTGAAACGACAAGGTGTGTGGTTCCTTCGCCGGTGACTGTGGTGATTCTCCCGTCATCGCCGGTCACGCTAGAATAGAGCAGGTGCTTGACTCTATCGGAGACGTTGGTCAACACCGAAAGTAAGTTTGCAAGCTTCTGGAATACACAAGCTCTGATACCAATTAAAGATATGCAGAGAGCTAAAACAGTAATATGCCAAACACGCAATATTATATTGAAGAAACTAACGCAAAACTTCAATTACATCTTCCGCATACGATGCCCATATACTACATCGTATTTATAGACTATAACTAGTTATATTTTAATACAACTAGGACTGTCTAAACTAATTAAATCAATTAAACAACTTGGACTCCACTCCAAGATACAATACTGATTTAGAACCGTGACTAGAGTCCATGTCCTAATCAGATAATTCACAACAATATTAAATTGTCTTTACTTTTTTATAGAGCAGATATTGAGTGAAAGTGCAGTGGTATTTCTGAATTCTGAGTGCTCCAAATTGTTTTCATAAACACTTTTAGAAGTTGAAGTAGTGACGGATTCAAGGGGGCAAATGGGTGTCGCCGCCCTCTAATTTTATCTCAGACTCCAAAATTTTAATGTATATGTATTTGTATGTTTTTGCACCGGGAATTCATGTATCCCGGAAAACATTAGCATAAAAAAAGTGATTTTGATTCTACCCCTATATTCATGTCAATCAATTTCTAAGCATTTGCGGCCATAAATGAGCGGCCTGTTCACCGACTAGCATAAGCCAAAATAGTGGATGCATGTAAAAATATGTATGTATAGTTGGACGTGCCATTAGAGTATGCAGCCACCAGGCAGGCATCGTCCCCATACCGCATTTAAGGAAGCGTCATTGGCCACGTGTAATCTCTGCCTAAGCCGCCATAGCTAGCTACATACTAACCCATAATTATATTATTATTACTCCGATCCATTCCGTTGCCTCTACATATATTTGAACTTATCTTCTTCAATTCGATCAATTGGGAATTTAGTGAAACCAGCTTTCAATTCAATTCACGTGTTTGACTTCATCCATCCCCCAAACAAAGAAAAGAATTAAGGACTCGCGGAGGCCGGAAAGGAGATATCGATCAATTCAATTCAATGGCCGGAGAAGAGCCTATTCTCTCAAGAATTCAACGCCTTGACACCGTCGTAAGTACATGCTAAGCTAGCTCCAAAATATATAGTTAATTAATTGCGTTTTTTTATATTCTTCTAAACCTATTATAGTATGTGTTCTAATTAATGACAACGTATTTGATTGTGATGTGACTCGAACCTACAATCTCCTCTCTGGAAGATCGGCGGTAATGCCGGTACTTTAATTGCGTTTAGTTGTTAGCTTCTTACTCAAAAAAAAAAGGATGACACCCCATCCCTGAGGGCCCCCAACACCGACCGGACGGCACGATGGGAGGATGTAAATTGGACTATAATCACAATCTGACAGATAGAGAGTGAGGCTCTTTCCCCGGTACTTACAGAGGCCCTATGCATTTTTCAGCATAGTAACTCCTCATCGTAGTTGCCGGGATTCGAACCCGAGATCTAACCCTTGTGGCACTCCCTCGCTACCAGTTGAGCTACGCCCACCGGTGTTAGCTTCTTACTCGGTTTTATTTAGGGAAATATATAACTCTATTTTTGTCCGTTTTGCTTCGACGTTCTAATTCTACCGAAAATGAGGCAGGACTTGTCTTTTCTCGATTCAAACTCACAATTTAATGTACATGCGAACCCCTGTAAAATCATTCTTAAACATATATCCTTAAACAATTTATATTAGAGGTTAAAGCTTAAAATTTCTTTCTTTTCAGTGTTTATAAATATTTATACATACATATAGGCCCCTCCAACATCCTTGTGAAGTGATTCATCTTAAAGAAAAGATGAGTATTGATAATTATTTCAAAAATGATGTCTGTACTCACTCTTATACTCACCTTAAGGTGAGTATTAGAGTGGGTATATCAAGCTTGTAATTATTTTACCGCGGCTGGGGTAAGGGTGACATTGTCCAATATGGACCTTAATTATCGCTCGATTTTATGTCATCTCGTTAAGGGCATCCCCATCATGAGTTTATTTGAAGATCAATTGGATGATGTGTAAGATTATTTTAAAGATTATCATTGTGAGTGAGAGATTATTTAATGAGATTATTGAAAAAGAAAATCCGGTATCAAGATTCCAATCCCGGATTATTTTAAGATTGTAGTTATATTACATTTAATGCATGTCCAGAAAAAACTGATTATTTGAGTATTATTGTTGATGAAGAGTTTTAAACTTTGAGATTATTTAAAATGTTTATAATGTTTATTGACCACTGTTATTTAAAATTAATTACGGAGTATATGCTTATCAAAGTTCTAATACTTCTACTCCGTATATTTTAAAAATGTATATTAAAATAAAAATTTCAAAGTAAGTTCTACGTTACAAATTGACCCGATTCTTAAATAACTAATGGTCAAGCACTACAAATGAATTTTAATGACTAATGGTACATATTTGATATATTCATATTAAATTCTTTAATTTATGAAACATATTTTAATGAATTTTAATGACTAAAAATTCTTGTCAATATGTGTTTTTAGTGAAATTCTTGTCAATCTCTCCTACGAAATGATATACTTTGATTTTGAGAGGTTTCTCAATTTCTTGTTCATTTCATAGAATTTTTATGGAACTATATATATTATCTCGATCTATTTTCAGAGATCTATATATTTTGATAGATGAATTTGGATAGATTATTGTGAAACATGATTTATTTATTACCAAAAGTGTACAAAGTTTATATTTACGGAGTATTTATTAACGTACTCTGAAGTGATAAAATTGTTATGCGGAAAGGAATGGCAAAATAATCACTTAGCTTGGACTGGTAAAAAAATCGACTAATTTTTAGCATTTTTTTCAAATTCTTCTCTACCAAATTTGTACAACTGAAATGGATTTGAACAAGGACATAATACTCCGATCCGTATATGTAATTACATACAGCTTAAACAACTGGAAGGCATGAAAGGCGGCGGCGGGACCACACAGTCAGCGAAGAGCTCCACCGCTTCCTCGACGGCGTCAAGCGGCGAAGTGGCGGTGGGGCAAGCGGTAGCGCTGACGTCATCTTCTCCGGACTACTACTTCTATTGCTCTCCCACCATAAAACAAGGCTTGGAGAAGCAATGCCGTCCGATGAAGGAGGTGGTAATGGAGGCTGCGCTGAAAGGCACCATCATCCAGCGACTGGTCAACGTAGAGGATCGCGTCACCGAACTCTGCATGCACTTCCAACGCGCGTTTGAGGCTCTCAAGATCAGCGGGGAGGCAGCGGCGGTGGCTCCGGCCCCCGCCCAGCAAAAACAGCCGAACAAAATGGCGCCGATCATCGCCGCTGCCCCAACCGCCACTAGTAACTCTGCAGGAGGGGAACACAAGAAGTCACCCAAACTGGCGCACAAAGGCGGGTTCAAGCAAAAGTCACCTAAGAAGGGTGGTTTTAGAAGCTTTGTCAAGTCTTGTGTGAAAACTAAGGGGAAGGATTACTAATGCTCCATAATATAATCACCATGTGATATGTATGTAAAAAGACCTCCATGGTTCCTTCTCATCAAAATTCAATAGTTTTCACTTTGTCAAACACGTATGAGGATTTGTTTTGGTAGTAGTTTTGTATTCATAAAAGGAAAAGGCTGTTAAATTTGCTATGGCCAAAAGTATCTGGAGTTGCTTTCTCACGCAATAATAAACAAACATGCAATGTTTTCTGACATGATTATATATTTATATTTTAAGAAATTGTCCAAAATGAGACTAAAACATAGATTAAACTCCAAAACAGGACAGTTTTTTATTCCCTAAATAGGACTCCAGATTACACTTTTACCCTTCTCTAATTAAACCCCAATTTCTCCCGGCTGTAATTCATCGATAGATCTACCCCTTCCGCACTCGTCAGTGCATTCTTGCTATCGATTGGTATTCATCCAGCAACTCCACACATCTCTTCTTCCCGTGGACTGCATCTCCGCCATCGGCTATGGCATCGCACCGCAGCTCCGCCGTCGACCATAGGTATCCTCCTCTCCCTCCTTTCTTCTTCTTCTTCTTCCTCTTCCTTTTTCACTTCCTCTTCTTCTTCTTTCTTCTTCTTCTAATCCTCTTCAAATTTTTGGTCCTCTGTTCTATTCTTCTTTGGATTTTAATTTTATTTTTTAATTTGGACTTTTTGGATTTGAATTTTATTTATTCAGTAAAATGCCACTTTTATAATCTCAGAATGTCAAAATTATTGGTTATTTGAAAACAAATGTCACGTTTGTGGCAGTTTATTTACTAGGATGACAATCTGAAAATGTCACTTTTGTTTTGAAAATGTCATGAAAGTGACATTATTACTCTGGAAATGTCATTTCTTCTTTGAAACTGTCACCTTAGCAGATGTAATGTCATGAAAGTGGAATTTTTACAAATCAGTGTTCAATTAAAGATCAACTATGTCATTTTTCAGATTGAAGTGATTAGAACAATAATATGAATCTTTTAAAAATAAATTACTCAGGATTATAAAAACTTGGAAATCCAAAAGAAGACCTGTAGAAGAAGAAAACACAGAAGCTTGAGAAGAAATTAAGAGATGAGCAGAGGAAAAAGATCGACGAAGAAGAAAGTTGCCTGGGGAGCTGTTCGCCCGTGCGTCGCAACTCGCAAGCGACCTTCATAGTACCCAGCGAATCGTTGCAGCAAGAACTAAGAAGGCTATTTTTGTCCTAATACAAATAATTAGTCCTATTTAGGAAATTTAAAACAATATGTCCTATTTTTGCAATTCTACCTTCTTTTAGTCCTATTTAGGTAAATCTCTCTTATATTTTTTGATAATGCTATTATGCTAATACTCCGTATGTAAATAGTAATAATATTGCAAGTACGAGTAAGTAAAAAATAGAAAAGGGCAAATAAGCTTCCTAACAATTTTTTGCATATTTGGAATTGAGTTGTGTGGAGTTAATGGCCAACAGTAGATAGTTGGCCATAATGGACCAAAGTGTCATAAGACGTCTTCTTAATGGCCCAACAAGAGGTCAGCCTATTGACCCCTATCGTCGTCAAACTACTATACACAGCCCACGGTGGATAGCTGACCATGATGGACCAAAGTGCCATAAATGGCCCAACTAGAGGTCGGTCCATTGACCCCTTAACCAAGATCATCAAGGTCGTCGTCAGACTACACAACCCACGGTGGACAGTTGGCCATGATAGATCAAAGTGCCATAAGACGGTCCATTGGCCTTGGCCTGACAGGACGATCAGCCCGGCCATATGTCCTTCGTTCATTAGTGTGCAAGTAACTACCAAGCACTCATGATATGGCAAGATGACTTGCAGGAGACGCACAGAGCCTAGCCCTTGCACCACCCGGACGAAGGGCGTAGGATCTGGAAGACGTTCGGGCTTATTGTCTCACTTATATTAGGGCCCATATGTCTCACTAATATGCCTATTATGTAACGGCCTAAACCCTAAACCTATAAGGTCTGGAGGATTATGCCTATTACGTTAGAATAGGCATTCTACGTTGCTCTCTTTCTCTCTCTAGAGAGAGCAGTGGCTGTTTCATACCCTACTTTGTATTTCAAATCATCTTGTGATTGAATCAGAGTTTTACTTCTTATCTATTCTGTTCGATCTTGTAGTTGGTTGTTGGATCACATTTTACACTAACTCATTTTTTCCCTCCGATTCAGAACTTCAATATAAACAATTCATACCTCCCCATTTTTTATTTCAATCTCTCAGAAATAAACTTATTAAATTAAATGATGGAATACGCCAATTAACGTTCATTTTTCAAAAACATATTGTTTACTTTTATTTGATTTTAGACAAAAGGTGTAAGCACCACATACTGAATATAACTATACAAGATGTGAGACTCTTAATGGTGGTGATTTGACAATTCGTGTAGAATATTGAGTGATGCATCTATTAGACCAATTGAAGAGTCATGAGAAGAGGCACAGATGAGAATGAGGTAAAGACTCAAATAAACGTAAATTAGAGGAGTCAATAATGATATGATACTGTCAAACAAATTTTAAGTGTTAACTTAAAATAGATTGCAAATAATAGTATATGAGAATATTTGGTACAATCTCTAAATATGAATCCTCCGATTCTTCACTTGTTATTTGATATGAATATAATTAAAGAATTTAATTTAAAATTAAATCTTTAATCCTTCAAACTTTCGAACGTTCTCCAGATCTTCGAGTCTTCGTTCTTGAGATCTTCGAATCTTCGTTCTTTAGATCTTCAAATCTTCTTGAATTAAAAATTTAGCTTGAAGGGCCTTCGGTTTTCAAGTAGCTTGATCTTCAACAAAAGGACCGTTATAAGGCTTGATCTTCTGTTAAAGCGCTTCCCAGGATATATGGTGTGGTCTTCAATTGAATCTTGGTTTAATCTTCATATGAATATCTTCAAATCTTCAAAGATTCGTTCTTCAAATCTTCGAATCTTCAAAGCTTTTGTTCTTCAGATCTTCGAATCTTCGAGCTTCATTCTCCAGATCTTCGAACGTTCTTCAACTTTTGGACTTATTTTATCAAGAATAGATGAAAACACAAAGGATTATTCATATATTCTTGACAAAAAACGTGAATTGATCTCTTCCTCTCCTTCAGAATCGTTCAGAGCCTCTTGGGAGTTCTTCAGAGCTATGCTGCAGCGTTTCTTCGTCTAGAAGTTCTCCTCCTTCTCTCAACTGAGACCCCTATTTATAGGTGTGGAGGGAATGAAATATGCTTTAGGGTTCCCAAAATTCGTCCATATTATTTGGGCCCCAATTAAAATGGGCTTTGGGCTCTATTTGTTTGTATTTAATAGCTTGAAAAATAAGCACTTGTTCGATGGCTCTGGACGGCTTTTTTAACAAGGTTCATAGCTATTTTCCATGCATATGGAAGGATTTCTTAGCCAGATTCGTTGACCTCTATCAATTGGATCATGTCTCTTATATATTGGGCTGCTATTTGATAATGGACTCAAAATTAATAGGACCGGTCCATTCTTTTAAAAATTTAATTTATAATTAAATTAATTGGATACTTACATGACCCAAATTAATTTAATCACTAAATTATATTCGAAAGGATATATATTAATATTTTTCTTTTGCTAAGGGCCAACAACCGTCACAAAAAAGTCCAATGCAATCTGAAATTGGCCCAATAGATTTAAAAGATGTCCACCAAAGTTGAAATAGCCTGCTAGCATTTGACAGAGGTCCAATAACAACTATAGCTGGCTCAATAATTTCACATGTCTACAGATACATTCTAGATATATAGAATGAAAGTGTGACTTCGGAGACACTCAAGTGGAAAGAAAATATACGGGTGGATAATTGATCTCTCTATCTTTTATTTTTTTATTTTATTTTTATTGTTTTCTTTATCTATTTAGTTTATTCTTATATATTTTTTATCTTTATGTTTTTATCTGGGTTTAATTTCATCTTTTCAGCTCCGATTTAACATGTCTATTCATGTTAGCCAATCTGTTTTCTTTTGAGATTAAATATGGAATGTTATTGTATTAGTGGAACAAAGTATACAGTATTATCATATGACGTATAAATATTAGGAAATTATGTTATACAACCATTGTCAAAGTTAAAGATTTATATTGTAAAATGAAACAATTAATAGACAATATAATTAAGGAAAAAAAGATCAAATAAGCCCTTCTACTATATTCAATCCGACACTCAAGCCCTTGTACTAAAAAAGTATCATATAAGTACGTCTACTTTTAAAATACAATCAACCAAGGCCTTTGACCTGCTATAGTAGGTTATTTTTTTAAAAAAATTAAATTATTAATATTGATAAATCTTACAAAAATTCATATAAATTTTAATAAATAATATAATAATACTATAAAAAATAGTATAAATATAAAAATAGATAAAAAATTGAAAACATTAAAGTAAAAAAAATCATAAAACTAAAAAAATAATGTTAAAATAAAAAAATAAAAATAAAAAAATTGAAAACCTTTTAAATAGATGTAGAGTATACAATTATTTTTAAAAGTTAAAAAATATTTACTTTGAAATTATGAAAATTTTCACAATTTTTGTATGTATTTCTTCAAATTTTAACAATTTTTTAGAATTTTTAAGTATTAAAAACCTGCTATTATAGGTCAAAAGCTGATTAAATGATCAAATTGATCCATTTTGTAAAGTATGCGTACTTATATGATACTATTTTGGTACATGGTCTTAAATGACGGTTTGGAAACAGTACAGGGCTTTTTTGAACCTTTTTCCTATAATAATTAAACAACATAGTTCAAGTATATTTTATTAAATAATTTTGATGAATATATAATATAATGAAGTCATTGATGATAACAATGATGTTATAGATATATTATTTTTAATATTGATGATTGAATTATTATTTAGGAGTGTTAATTGTTTTTCTAAAATACAAATGAGAATTTTTATACGAGTCCCAAACTAATAAAAGAGTATTATAAAAAAGGGAAATATAATTAATTAAAATATCCCAAACTTTGAAGTGGTGTGAGGTAAACACCTCAAACTTGCATATGTAATTAAATATCTCAAACTTTATATAAAGAGTTATTTTAGTATCATGAAATTCATTATTTCTCTCAAAAATGTTAATTTTTGGTGTTGATTTCATAATTTAAAATATTTTAGCATTTATGAAGATAAAATTAACATTTTAAACTTCC